AACTTCCACAACGGCACCGCAGGCACACCATACATGGTTTTCCACGACAACAATGGAGGAGACCGCCAGAACACCCAGAAATAGCGTGAAGTGATCCCGTGGTTGGGTTGTCACGGAGACATTCTAAAGAGGGGGAAGGGGGCGAAACAAATTGAAATCAGATAGGGATGTGAAAAGTAATATATAGGAGTACACTTGATTGTGAGGATTATTAGGTTGCTGCTAGTGCCGGTTGTGCCAAAAAGGTCTATGAATTTGTCCCAGTGCCTTTTGTGTGCGCGGTTACCATAAAATAAAACAGTCGTGTTGTTAGGTCATGTAAGCAAATAGGGGCTCTGGTCGGTTTGTAGGAGTCTTCCGCCCGGCGCAAATGTGCTGACTCATTCTTGCTTCGCTTGCCAAGTCTTCGCGTACCCATAGGTGACCAACTCCCCCCAGCACCTTCTTTGTCATTCGCTGCAAGCGACACGCGATGTCCTGCCTTTCCCACACTCTCAGTCGACTGGCTTCCTGAGGCGCGCGTTACTTCGAACCAATCGATGCGCGCCGTGCCACCTAATTGGATAAGGACACACTCCACACTCAGTGCTTCGCGGCAGCGGACACATCTGACGTGCAGACGCAGTTGGAAACTGGCTCATGACACAGCCTTTGTAGCGTATTTTTTCCGGCAGTAAAAGCTCTTTTTTCCCGGGTACAAATTTAAAGCAAGCAAAACAGCAGAATTTATTTGTACAAAGAAATTTCTCGAGAGCTTGCCAACAGCTTCCTCTCTTTGCATGAATAAGAAAACAGTTGAAGAAAACAGGCTGTTAGTATGGTAAGTTTCAACAATGTTCACTCTATTGACCTCAACACATCTTTCCGAGTTCTTGTTCGAGCACGAACAAATCGGACCTTGCGCTACATGGAAACAGCCTATATACGGCGGGAGAAACCCGACCTATGTGAGCAGTTAGACCATGTGGTTAACTACCACTTGTCCTGGTTACTGCATACCGACATTTGATCAACCTTTTATTTTTTGCTAATTCCCATCCCTACTTTTCCTTTCCTACTTTTTCGGACATTATTATTGATCATTTACCGCGTTAAACATGTCCTTGCTGTTATTGATTCTGTGAAAATTCAAAATGCTGCGTTCTCCAATCGTTATCTTATTCATGCAAAGGTAGGGAGCAGTTGACAAGCTCTCCTTAATCTTTATTTGAATGATAAATTCTGCTGTTTTGCTTGCTTTAAGTAAAAGCTCTACTTACTAATACTGGTTTTCCTTACTTGTGATTTGGGGATCCTTCTGTTGTCGACACGACTACTTTCGATATGTTGACTGTCCACTCTAGCAGAGCAGCAAAGGCTGGCCTCTTAACCATACTGTCCAACTCCTGAATATGAAAATTGCAAGATGAGAGTTTGATTAGCCCCTCCTTTCGGGAAGCTCATGCTATCTACCTTCAATGTTAAGACGTAGGTATTTGCATACGTAAAGCAGAAGAAGGCACGTCGATCACCGGAATCATGATTTTATTCGTTGAAACTTTCAAACTCTCACCGGAGTTTATCGTCCGAGATACAAGCAGCAACAAAAAATAACCAACAGTTATAGTGTGCAGGGGCCAATCAACCAGCCACGCAGGGCGCTGTATGCCAGCGCCAGATCGACAAATCGATTGATTGAGTACTCATCGGAAGTCCAGGCTCCAAGTGGTGTGGTTCATCACTTGTTGATGAACGTTCACCGACCACTGTCGGAACTCACTTGTTCCGGTCTCATTCTCGGACTCTGACAACAGCCGTAAAGCGGCTGGTAACCTAGGCAGATAGTATTGCTGCCAAAGACAAGGCAGACTGGAATGACCATTTCTGGCTTACAAGCCGTCGTCAGCCAGTCATACCCAACCCCAGCTAGTGCACTACCGGAGACTTGAACTCGCGACCTTTTCGATTAGAGTTTAGCGCTCTAACCATTGAGCATTAATCAACAAGGGTCAATATCGCCCGACCCAAATCAGTAGAACAACGAGTTCGTGGCTCAGTGACTGGAGTGATAGAATTTGATCGAAAAGATCACGAGTTCGGGCCCCGGGTGGTCTACCACGTGGGGGTAGCAATACTATCGGTGTGGTTTGTATGTGATTTTTCTGCTGCCAATTTTGAAACGATACTTTCAAAATTAAAGCACCCCCCTCTCTCTCTAATGAAAGAGTTTTCAAAAGTTGGTTGGCTGAATGAGCAGAGGACAAATACAAGCGTAATAAACGGGGGACTCACCTCAATGAAACTGAGAGCACCATTGGCCATGCCGACAAACGTATGGTGTGTTTCTCCGATATTGCTAACAGCAATCGCAGTAACACTGCTGCGAAGCTTAATTTCCCAGCTTTTGACTCTGCAATGGGGATGGGGCGCGGACAGCGGATGAGAGCAGGGCGGATGATTTAAAACTGTATTCAAATAAATGTTCTGACCCATATTCGGTGCGAAGACTTTTTTAAGCAAAAGTAAGCGGGCAAGTAAACACACATTTTTCAAGGCCAGTGCCCGTGAGACAGGTGCGGTGAGGTGTTCGACAGAATAGCGAGTCGCAATGTTTCCTATTGGACGTCCGTGCTGTTTGCTTATTGGCTACTTTTTCGAAGAGTGTGTCCTTGGTGTTTTTATATATGGCTTTATTATTAGTAGCTAGGTGTGCACCGACCAGATACAGGACGCACCCGCCTTGGTTGTTGATGTCCAGTGTTCGGGAACTCCCAAACCTTTGCCACATGGCTAATTGTAATGTTACTTACAAAGGTTCAGTAACATTTTTGTTATTTTAGGACATTTTACCGTAAGACAAGAGAATTCAGGATGGCCATTGTTGTATTATTATATTATTGTAAGTTGTATACCTTATTACTTATTTTTTATCATTTTATTATTGCTTTTCCATATACTTGTCATACGGACATATGTTTGCATTCTAGATGTGGCATTTGAGCGCTTTAGTCAGGTGAATAGTATTATATGTGTAGTGCTCGTATTTAGGAAATTGTTTACCGTTTTAAGACGATGAATACCCGCAAATTCGCAGCTGGGAGCCCCAAGGCGGAGAGGTTTGTTATTTACAGCCGCAAATATGTGTGCCTGTCCTCGCGGGATTGAGCACGTTCATCATCGCACACAGAAGGCCTGCTATGGTGATCACTGATCGTGATATTTTTACAGTTACTTTGGTTACTATTTTTGAGTTACTTTTTTGTTGCCTTTTTGATTTATATTTTTTAATTCCATTACCGCTTTTGCATTTTTATGCAACTTCAAATGGATATACTCGAGTGCTCTTGGGTTAATAGTTGTCTATTTGGTTGCATTTCATGCTTTTTGGTTCTCTCGCAGTTCGCCCGGTCATTAAAGCCCGAAAAAGGTGGCCTAGCGATCATCACGCCAAACTCTATCGCGCATGGGTCAATTTCAGCAACTTCCTACTTGATGAACATTCACCAACTGCTAACAGGACTCACTTATCCTACTCTGCATTACATATTTTTGTCGGGCTCTAACAGCAGCCATAGCAGCAAGTAGTACAAGCAGATAGTATTGTCGGCAAAGAGAGGAGATACATTTATGGCTTATTAGCCGTCGTCAGCCAATCCCACCCGGACTCAAGTGGTGTCACGTCCGAGCCTCGAACTCGCAAACATGTTGATCAGAGTCAAACGCCCTAACCACTGAGCCACGAGCTCGCTCTCTGGTCAGTTCAAGTCAGAGGATATGGACGTTTATTGATAAAATTTCGCCGACTGTTAAAGAAACTCATTGTCTCGCTCCGCCTTTGTCTTAGGCCTCATTTCTGAGGCCCCGACAGCAGCCATAGCAGCTAGCCTTCTTTAGACAGATAATATTGCCGGGCACGCATGCTGGCCGCTAAGCCACCAGCGCAGCAGACGGGCGGGAGCCGTTATAGGTATTCAGTAGCCTTGCAACCTTCTGTTACGAATTACCCTTCCCGATGCTGTTGTTTCTGAAGAGGGGTTCAAGCTGGACGCAGAAACGTCAGGCGAATAAATTTCTTGTTTCAACGGTCATGTCTACTTCTTCTTTTTCTTCTGTGTTTAAACTTCCAAACAATGATTAGAAAGTTGAAGCGGGTTGACTGCTACAACACCGATCAGGTTACCCACTGATGAGTGCTCGCAGATTGTCTCTGAAACTCTAATGGAGGCAAGGGGGAGATTGACGAGTCAGATACATGATGACAACTAGAACATGGGTTTGAAACAAATCTATTGTAGTGGGATGTTGTAATTGCGGTGATGCAAGACCATCAAAAACCAGAGTTCGAGTATGTATAGTTGGCTTTTCCCGTATTCCTTGTCTTGGTGATTTAAATTTAGCAAGCGATCGACAATGTTAATGAATCGATTGAAATTGCGAACACCAGTCGCTGGAACACAGATGCTAATGACACTGAAACAGCCTCTAAACAACAAACAGACTTCTGAGGATTAAAAAGAAAAGACATAGAGACAAACTAGGATCTACTTCTGTTCCGAGTCAAATGCGTAAAGATAGCAGTCCGCGGAACCCAAGAGAACGTGCTTTTTCTCCAACACGGCCGCGCATAAGATGGGGCTGTCAAACTGTGAAAGGAAAATATTAAAAGGAAAAAAGGCTTAAATATCTCTGTTCAATAGCGTCAGTATTTGCAGAAGAAACTTATCCACAAAGCGTTCCTCTAACGGGGTCGTTTTTAGGGGGGGGGGAGGAAGTTCCTTTGTTCATCTAAGTAGCCACAACTACATCCACGATCAAAAATACTATGTGGTATGTCCGGTACCACACGGTGTTACCAGAATTTCGCCGTTTGCTAAGAAGTCCTGTATTCGCTGTCACTGGGTTGTAATCATGCCGTGGCCAAGAGGTTTCCCAGGTAAGTCAGCGTATTATATCAAGCTGCCTAAGCGCCTATTAAAAAAGGTAAGCCTGATAGTCATTTTCTGCCAATAAAAGCAATCAGACAGTTCCAGGAAGCAGTTTAGGAGAAGCAGATGCGATTCTTGGACAGGGAAATTTATTGTCCTGACATTTCGGATTCCCACCCAACTCCATCATCAGCAGAGACAGTCGCAGATAAGGATAGTAACGGTATAAGTAGTGCAGTGTTGCTCTTACGTAGTTGCCGTGTAGCGGGCTGACAAGTCATCCTCGCATCATTGCGACCTGCATTGAGAATCACAATGGCCGGTAATCATAGTACACAAGCTGTAGCATGGCGGCTAAGTCGTACGTTTTTGTCTCTGATAACCCTTTTGAATGAGAATCCGAAACTTCTTGTTTCAGTGATCACATCTTCTTCTAAGACTTTTATTGAAATTTAGATGGAGTGCACAAAACACCCACATCGGGCAACCACTTTACATTATGGAGGCCTGGACGGGTGGTTTGACTCAAGCGGAACTAAATTAAATAGTTCTGGTGGTTGGAACGGGGAATATATGCAATTCTTGCCCTTACAGTCATGTGTTCGAAGTTCTTAGAGGCCGTCGCGCCTTTCATAAATGTGTCACTGTATCACTGCGAATTTGCTGAAGACGATTACTATAAAAGCCTTAATTCGTACCCTGTCATTGGCCATGTCCTCCTATGTGTTCGGTTCCTCTGTCTGGTAAACGAAAAGTCTGAGTGACAGTTAGTGGAGTAGAGAAACCCAGTTATTAGAACCATTCCGGGCATATTATCGCAGCAACCATTGTAAATCTTTTCCCAGTCTACTTAAGACCAATCAACGCTGCTGCCCCTCACTGTGGAATCTGAAAGCTACTGGGAAAGGAAATTTCCCCTGGTCACGCAACATGTCTCTTAAATGGCTACCGGCCTCAGTCACAACCACTTAATTATTTTTAAACGAAAATATTTGCGCTATTACTGGTAAAGAAGGACATACTGTGCAAAGGGCTAACTATGACTTCAACTTCGATGCGTTTTCTTATAAAAATTTAGATACGGTAGACTATGACGTATATATCTGCACCGGTTATAGCATAAGTGTATGTGGTTACCTGAACGTCAATGGTATACATTTTGTCATCCTCGGCGCTGCCCTCTCTGATACAGCACTTTTCGCCCTCTTCGATGAAGACGAGGAAAGTATCGGAGGCTGTTAATAGAACAACAACAAGAAATGACAGTCAAGTAGGCGAAAATGTAAAGCCAATCCCAGACTAAATTTTCGAGAAGTTGGAAAGAATGAAGACCTTTTTTTCCCTTTCCAGCATTTCGCACGACCGTTTAGCCTTCAGTTCATATTGAAGGAAAAGGCAAGTTGCTAGAATTCACAGCTGCTTTTATATCGACTTATTTGAAACCATATTCTAATGCTACTTGAATTGATTAAGTAGGTTTGCATTATCTAAAACATTTGGTCACCTTTTAGCGCTCCCAGTTATGAAACCCTGACTTCCAAAAGATACCCTTTACCTGTCCGATGACTTTATATTAACGGTACCAATCTCCTTTCAAGCAAAATGCATTAATGCAATTACCGCTCTGTTAATTAGTTGGGCTGCAGCCGACTGTTGGATAACAACCACTGAATTTTTCGAGAAATAGACAGTAAATCGAATAGGGAATGAAGTCACCTAAGAACGAGTGAGCGGCGAGATTGAAAGGTACTCACCCGTCGGTAATAGAACGGCACGCTACTTACCAATTGTTCATATGCCGTTAGTGTGTTAACGATCTTCTAACAGTTTCAGAAAATGAACTGGGTTCACGCCAAGGAAAGGTCACTACTGTGTATCAGTTTATTTGCGATCTGACTACCTGCATATTCAAAATCACTTAAACCACAAAAAATAAAGCAACTATCCTTCAGACAAGCGGGGCACCTGAAGCTATCAAGATGTGTTAAAAACCATGGCTTTGTAGGAATCCGTCGCCCAGGGCCACTGTGCTGACTCATGCTGCCTTTCGTGCGCTGAGCTTCGCTCGCTGCGCGCTATTGCCCTTTTGTACGCTTGATTTCAATTCACCGCGTTTACTCTTGTAGCTAATCGATAATCCTGCCTCATTTAATTAGCGACAGCCGATTGCTTATTCATTGTACAGCCTAAACTTGCCACATCCACACTTTTGCAGCTGCACGACTGGCTTTCGTACGCGGCGTCACTGTACGGATTTTTGAGCAGTTAAGTTGTGCACATTCAATCAGTATTCCCAG